GAACTTGTCCACCACTCCAAATGAATGACCTGGAAGGGTAAGGTCAGGAGCAGCGCCTAGCCAGTCCGGCAGGAAAACCTGCCATTCCAATGGTGCGAAAGTCTTTCCAAACTGGAAGACAGACATATCCAACATACACAGGACATTTTGGGCGACCTGTGAGGAAGCGCAGATTACGGCGATGCCGTCTGCATTTTCCAAATCCCGAAGTCGTTCCCCCGGAAGCAGCTCGACGCTGCTGGGTTCGCAGCTCTTCAGAGCACTCTCCAAGATTTCGTCTATAGCGAAATTGAACAAGAAGGGTGGTGCTGGGCAACCCTGTCTCATGCCACTGGTGATACCGAAAGGGAGCGAAAGTCCACCGTACACCCGCACTCGGCCCGAGGTTGGAGAGTAGGTGTTTTGAATTAAAGTGACATGCTTCTCGGGTACTCATTTTCTCAGTAGACAATTCCAGAGAGCAGCTCTGTCGACTGAGTCAAACGCGGCTCGTGTGTCTAAGAAAGCCAACGGTCGTTGGCTGGCCAAATGTTTGACGATGCTCGAGTATTTGGCGGTGTGCAAAGATGTGATCGATGCAACTCCGATCTGAGCGGAACCCAGCTTGCTCTTCACGTATGCTCTATTCGTGTACCAGCCTGAGACACCTTAGAAGCAGAACTGCGAGCACCTTGGAAGCAACACAGATGGACTAATCCCGCTATGGTTGGCGCAGTTAGTTCGGATATCCTAGTTGAAGATGGACACGATGTCCGATAAGCCCCAGTCAGAACGGATAAATTCAGTGACCCAGACCTCTTGGACGAGACAAGTTACCTCCTAAACAAGTGATGGGCCTCCATCTTTGAAAAGAGCCGGAGGGAGTTCATCTGGGCCAGGGTTTTGTAGCGCTTTAAGAAGCGAAGCTCGTGGGCAACCTCAGCCTTGGATGGTGGTGAAGCATCTACACACCAGGGAGCGCTCTGGGCTCCAGAATGGGAACTCATTGGAGCTGCTGGCCAATTAAACTGCTGCTCAAAATGCTCGGCCTAACAATCGAGTCGGCGTTTTTGATAGTGGATTGACTCGCCATCGGTTTGGCATAAAAATTCGCTTACAGTCGGCCTTTTGCCGCCAGTAGACCGGATCAGGAAGCAAAGCTTACGGAAATTCCCCGAGGTAGCCGCATTATCCATCTCAATGACCCGCTGCGTTCACCAAGCCTCGCGATCTTCTAGAAGGAACTGTTTGAGCTCAGCGTTAGTAGTCTTGCATAGTGCATGGTATTTCACGCTAGCAGGAATTGCTCGACGAGCTTCAGGAAGTTGGAGGGATCGTGCGGAGATCCAGTGGTTGACATAACTACTGGTGAAGCCACAGACAAGGGTTGCAAAATTGTGCAAGGCGCCGCTGATGGGTGTCCAGTGTGTTTCAATATCTGTTCATGAAACAGTTTTCAGCCGTGAGGCCAAGGCATCGTGAAATGCGCGGAGAACGTTCGGGCCGAAGAGCTTAGCTACATCAAACCGTTTCTGGCGACGCTGCTGGGAGCCACCAAAACGTAGTGCAACCTTGGTACACACCAGCGTTTACTCCTAAGTGAAATAAGTAATGCAGATAGATTTGCAGTCCTGTATGCTACCCCGCCAGCGATAGCTAATGGCGATGTGGTCGATTTGTGTCCACGGCTGGCCAGGTGATGTGGGTCCCAGGTGACATCTTGGCTCTAGGATCCCCGAAAGCTAGTGCTCAACAGAAAGAGGCCGTGATGCGCAGAGCTGAAGTAGTCGATCCGCGTTGTCAGTTCTGCGAGTGCCATGACCGTGTTGATCACCGAGTTCACGTTCCTCAACCCATACCAACCTGCGCGTTCAAATCTCTGCGAGCACCACGATGTCGGTACGGCGCTTCTTACGAAGGTTGACCAGTTGATCATAGAACTCATCCTTAACTGACTCCGGGGTGCAATCTGTGGGAGCGTACGCTGCGACAATGAATAGACAGCATCTGCTGTCTTTGCGCCTGGACAGTCACACTGAGGTTTCATGTCGGATCGCGCATACTTGACTGTTAACAGGGATCCGGTCTAGTAGTGCGGCCTCAGAACGTTTGCTCAACGCAATCCCCAGGCCAGCATAACCAGTGGCTTCGGCGGTTGAGTCTCCAGAAAGGCGCAAAGTGAAAATGCCAGTGGAATTCGCAGACGGTGAAACTAATCGCAGCGTCGTGCTATAGTCCTATAAACGGATCTCGCTGAGACAGCAGACATCAATGACCGTAGTTTCTAGAGTGCGAGCAGGGGCTGCCTGTGACCCAGTCTGCATCAGCGTCCGAACATTGAAGGTTGTCAGCTTGAATTGGGGACGGGGCGCTAGAATTGGATTGTCAACACGACTTGGCGCATACTCGGATCTAAGCTCCTGATCCGTATAGCGAGAATGTTCGCCCAAGGCGGCCTAGTGTTGTGAACTCGAAAACGGAGGGGGAAGACCAAGAATGGTGGGGTTGAACAAACATGGAATAAAGTGACTAAACGATGGTGAGGGAAAACATATTTTGACAGGTTTAGCCGCCAGCATCTTGGCCGTTGAGAACAGTTTGTGAGAGTGACAGCAGATAGAGCGAGCGCGGAGAGAGGGAACGAAGAATTGTTGTGACATGGATCCATAGTTTGTGTGGGCATGGTACTTCCCGGTTGAACAGGCCGAGGAAGTGGGTTGACTTAATGGACTCCATCCGGAGCTTTGGGTCATGAAGACCTAACCCGCAGGGCAGCGGGGCGATTGACGTATACAGCGACCGTTGGGAGCCGGCTATCTAGGTGAACGGCTTTCGAGTAAAGGCAAACTACTCATGGCGTCCAAAGAGCCCCAGTGAAGCAGCAAGAAGGCCGGGATTCCCTGGACTACTGAACTCGCCACGAAGCACGAAAACCATTGACAGCCGGGTGGCTCATACGCCCTCCGTTAAGTACTCCCTTCTGTGACCAGAAGTGAGTGGTCATTGGCCCTATAGCCGGTCACATTGGCTTTGACACAGCGTCTTGCGAGCTCTTGTGGTGTTCAATGAGGAACCAGGTGACCAACCCTGAACACCCCACGCTCTAGGACACTGCGGCTGATTGTCCGCGACTGCTTATTCATCTTGCCTGCGAACAGCCGAGACTTATTCAAAGCTACCTTCACAAGGAAGGCGTTTCCCGATCCGCAACCTGAGACTCGCCCGATGGCGTACAGCTCCGTCGAACCAACCAGTACAGTACAAGGTCTATTGATCGTCGCAGCTACGTCAAAATCGGTCGGCGGAACATCATTGCCTCGATTTTAATGTAGGGTTTGACGGTAGGAACAGACATGGAAACAGACGCACTGCTATCATTGTCAAAATTTTTCTATGAAAGCGGAACCGAATGTTAGATACTCGTGATAAAAGGCCTGATGAAGAGCCCTAAGAATGTCTTCGAATGAGTGTAGACGTTTGGGTGTAAGCTCGGCAATGAATTTTTTACACAATGATCTTGGCAAGCAATGTGTGAAGGTTGTGACCTGGAGTGACAATACGATCCGACAAGATAGATCCAACAGGTGATGGACGCTGAGTAGCACTCGTCGAATGTGTTCCTATGAGCGTAAGCACAAGATTGCGTGACTAGAATTGCTATAGGAACTCGGAGTTTAGTGAGAACGCGGATAGAGTGCGGCCGTACGGTATACAACATAGGGAGGAAAATATGTAGATACTACGTGTGTCCACCTTAGTGTTCTTTTGTTAGGTAAATTAACTCCATCCTTCATCCCCTCTTAAGCTGTTGTACCCTTCTCGCCCAGTCAGATTGATGACTTACCGATGGCCTATCAAAAAGTGAGCACATCGACAAGTTGGACAAATGAAATTTATCTTTGACTTACTTTCTAGTCTGCCTCTTATTTTACTTTCCCGTACTCTGAAGACCAACCGATGAACTATGACAATTACCCGCGCCTCAGCGGGTTGTACAACTTACCCTTAGCATTGGCCCTTTTCTAGCTCTGTACCCCCTTACCCAGTTAGATGAAGGACATATGAGAGTCTCCAAGAAGTGGACCTGCCGTTCCAGCGAATGGTTCGACTGCAGTATTCTAAGCTGTGCTGGGTTTCGCCTGGCAAGCACTCCCCCTGTACAACGCCACAAATGTCTGTTTAACAACATTGTGACTTGACGGATGTGACTCGCCACTAACTAAAGCCACTGCCTCTTACTTAGCTGGGTGATCTTACCCAATCACAGACGTCAATCACCCAATACGAAACATTCCTTTTACTTGTTCTCACATTGTCCATCCGACTAAACATAATCAGAAATACGGCGTCAGAGTTTCAAATTCAAGCGACACAGCCACACACATTCATACTGACATACACTCATATACACTTGTCACATAGAGCCATATGATATTGATAATCTTGTATCGTTGTTTGTATTTGCCAGTTCTGAGTGTTCGTATCACCATGATCATGCCTATGTAGGTGTGTCTCGTATGGTCGTGAATAAAACATTTATTTATTGATCTTTGTAACAACAGTGACTTTTTTGTATGCCCTATAATCGTGCTAGCTTCGCTGGGCCGTGTCTCACTTCGTTGAGAATATAGCTATCATATTACACTCCTCTGCTGCATCCCCTCTGTATTAAGTTTTCCCTTATCTCTCACGTTACTCCGGTCACATTGTTATGCTATATGTGATATCACGATTGAGAGACCTAGTTCTTATTAGTTATCGAACAAAGGGAATCGTGCTCTTGTCTGCTCGACAAACCATTGGCTTACTATTTCTATAAAGTGAATCTACTCCAACTTCACTTTCATCACACACATTTTTTCACCATAGATTTAAAGGACGATCTGTCAAAGCAATCAAAAAAGTCTCGTGTCGTGCCTGTCTATCCCTGTGTGCCAGCGGACTGGAGAAAAGCCTAGTGGCTAAGACTAAGAAGTCGTGATATTTGCAACATGCACTAAAACGAAAATGTCCAAACTTACTGGCAACTGTTGGGAATATCGTGGGTATCATAGTCGATGCAGACTGGATGCGAAATAGTTCAGTATGGTCGTCTGTTTCATTCATTTCATGCCAACGTATGGAGAAGTTGGGTTCAATACAACTTTCATTGTTGCTAACGTATCCACCAACCTGCGATGCGTAGTTTGGCAGCTCAGAGAGAGGGACCAGCACCATTGGAACCGGATGGTGGTTTGCTGTCTGCACCCATTCATGCAGCTGCTCCGGAGTCATATATATCATGTTGGCCGCTACGGTGCTGCACTTCCCTTGAGTTCCTGTATCTACTGATTTAGATGTTGAAATTACTAGTGGTTTTTCTGCAGTTTTAGCATCATCTCTTTGGGAACCCACTGCACCTTTGTCTACATCAGGTTGGATCAGTAATAGAGGGACAGTCTGTGAAGTTGAAGTGGAAATATTTGACCCGTGATCAGAGTGAACAACTGATGTAGGCGATCCGGTGGGCTTTACTCCGTCATTCGTACCCGTACTTGACAGACACAGGGAAGAGCTCTGTTTCGAACTTATTTTACTTGGCGTTTTGTGGCTGAACAATGCTTCAGCGCCCGTGGTTCCGCACTCGGAGTTGTACTCCTGCAATTTCCATCTTGGGACCTCTCCTTCTTCTCCGTTTTGAGTCCTCACCAACCACCAGTCGACGTTGGATTTATCACGGACCTGCAGTAACAATGGCGCCTTTCACCTTTTGTCAAATTATAAAAAGCGCTCAAAGTGTTCATGTTACGATTGTGGATCATCTGGAATGTAGTGCTCAAACTGCATGTGAGCATTTTTATGGTGCGCTACGCGGCCACAAAGTTACTGTAGATGTACTTTGTTCAGTCGACTCTTTGGAGAGATAGGAAAGCAAAATATGATGCAGGAAATGATGCTTGTCTACTTGTAAAGAACTACATTTGTTTCCAACTTCACTTTGTGGTTCCGCTTAAAATCTTCCTAAGCACCTAGGTTTACCACTTAGATGAGCATCTAAATATATAATGAATTCAGTTGCGCTTATCAAATCGTGCTTCTCATTGGTAACCAATTCCCTCTAAACTTTATCGCCCTCATATTCCCGGTAAATTTATATTGCTACCTTGAAGTGTGATCTAGTAAAATTAGCCTTTACGACACAAGTAACATATAGGAGGCAAGGACTATCTTACGATAGATTGTCGTAGTTTAGTTCACATCAATCCCACTTAGGTATTTTCTACTAATCCCTATTTTTCTTCCCATCTTTATACGAAATGATCAACTGAGCGTCGTCTGAATAACAGAGCATGAATTTCATGATCTCAGGCTTCGAACACCGGAGAAAAGTAAGCTTCCATCTCCCGAAGTTACGTTTAAGCCACTTATCGTTTGTCAGTAAATTATTCTTTCAATTAACAATTTTATATTATTGGGCGTAAGTTCATTCATTTATATATTATCAGGGGTTATAGGAACCTGCCCATATCAGCGCTCGGAGCCAATCCAGAGAAGTGTAGCCTGACACAGCCTGAAATTAACTGGCTAGCCAATGAGAGTGTTTCACATTAATGTCTACTGATGGGGACACTCCACATTGAAGTCCACCAGTGCGTAGCCAACGCGATCATTTTCGAGCATCAAGTAATTGCTAGAATCCTGATGCTTTTTGTCTGCAAAAACCTGGTGGCTGCCGCGGCGTCCATTTAGTCCTTAAGTTATAAGTTTCAATGTACTTTGCAGAATATGCAGAAGCGATTGGAATCCTGGACAGCAAAACTAAATGGACCGATATTCATGTTACTTCCCAGCTAAGTCCGCATTAAAGATAATAACTATGGGTGGACAACATTGATTTCGGTAGTATTGGCTGCTTACCATTCATATCAGTCTCGCCATAGTCATACAGGTGGAGTCGTGAAAACCGCCAATATCCCCACTAACTTGCTAGGTGGAGAAAGCATTCTCCACTGTTTACTGGTTACTACTTCTACCACTAATACTACCATTACTACCATTACTACTACTACTACTACCATTACTACTAAAATAGATCTACAAAAACACCACCATGAGTACCGTGTTGCTTGTTCGCCTTATTTTGTTAGGTGCTTTGCTTAGACTGATGAGCATCCCCAAATATCACTTTGTGTTTACTATTGAAGAGTGAACCTACTTAAAGTTTGTAAAAAATCAACCGTGACCGAGAATATGGGAATGCTGGAGGTAAGGCAAAAGCTCATAGGGCTAGATGGGGTTAATCATTGAGGCTCGCAAAATATTGTACGCGTAGTTGTGCTCAAATGTTGTGTGACGGAAGAATCGCATCGAATATGCTAACGACACATAAATTATCATCTGATTTTCGAGCAATTACGCCCATGTGCGGAAACAAGATTTGTAAACCTCACTGCACCCTTAGGTTTGTAACTTTAAGCAATTTAAATGAAACAGCATCTCGGTCAGGTAGCACCATAATGCTACCCAATGAATACAATAGTTACTCTGGTTCATGAACTCGTACAACTGCATGTTTTCTGTACGATGGAATTGAAGTAAAGTTGCAACGATAAACCGTACATGAAAGCGTGCCCATTTCTTAATTTACATTAAGTTACCCAATCACATATGCAGTTTGTTACTAGTTAAGCTACTTTAATTAGGTGTGAAAATGCCCACAAAACGAAGCCACAAACTCGCCTCTAATACTGTTCCTGGAGCAACGTCCAGTTCTGTCTTCTTGGAGCCCACGTGACGAACAGTCGCGATGTAGGTACTTTGGTAGATGAAATGAAGCGGCATTGGAAATGTCATCATTTGCCTACTTACTCTGAAAGCTAAAATTGTGCGCATAAGCATTCGAATGCACGTCCTGTTTTACTTTCTGTAATACCGCAACTTGGTAAGTGCTCGGAAAACCACAGAGCGAATTCTCTATCCGCGAGTAGCTCGTTTTCTTGTGTCAAATACAATCGACAAAAGAATCACTAGCATACCATCACACTCAGTAATCTGTTTTAACCAAACAAGTCTGGTGCACATTCAAAAATAGTAGGAGCAAATGACATGCGGATTTATGATCTGAAACTCATCTGTCCGATTCCCCAACGGGATACGAAGGGTCTCTATCACTGCATGTGTAAACTTGGTACTCACTTGTTAACGTTGCTTTCTTTTCCGCTGCTTTGGTTCGACTCACGTACTTCATCAGGCGACCCATCATCTACCGAATCAGTTGCTGAGCAAGTAGATGAGAAGCGAAACGAAGATCCAGTTCTTTTTTAAACGTCTTGTTGATAGAATGAGTATGTATCGTATATACTAACTTCGAGGATTCTTCCCCTGACGCCCCTAACTCGTTTTAAATAGAAGGAATTCACATGACAACCACAACATATGGCACAATGCCAGCTGGTTGTCGTTGTGTGTACTTTTGAATGGTTGAAGGCAATGAAAATTGGATTAGCAACAGTCATTCTACAAGATGTAAGAATAGATTCGACCGATTGTCTTAGGCGCTAGATGGAAATTTACTGATCCAACCCGGCTTAAAATAGCTGGACAATTCTACAACCGACGACACAAATTACACTCTCTTCCGGCTCTATCAGGGTATGTTGTCCAATCGAGATGTTAACATATCAGTTCCTGGAATAGCGGGATCAGACAAACTTCATCAGTGGGAGCTACACGTTTCAGACCAACCGATTATTCAAACCAACTAAGAGCCACTGACCGATGGTACCGGACAAACAAGAACAAAATCGTGATTATGCACTGCCCACGGAATTTGTGATTATGCAGTTATATCTCGTAAAAGCGTTACTATTATTTGTTCCCAAGGAATTAACGACTAGATGGACAAGCTATCTTTATTAATCAAAATGTTAAAAGTCTTAAGTCAGGAACATTAAGTAAGCTACACTGTAAACCAAGCATAGAATGCTTTTTCTCTACTATTTTAACCCGCGCTGGTGTGTCAAACCGAAGTGACGGTATTTTACTTAGTAAATCTCCCTCGAAGTTTTAAGCAAATTCCTAATTGCATTCAGCGTTAACTAACCAAAATTTGCTCAAGTGTGTTAACAACCCCATCGGATGATGGTGGTCTAGCGAGGGGACTCGCGGCTCAGGGGGCCAAGTTAAAAAACCGCACGTCAGTAGACGACCACTGAGGAGCAAAACCACACCTGGTTACGCGGTCACAATGGCCGTAGTTGTTCTCCCACCTCCCTAACGTTTTAACCTTTAATTTAAAAGTGTGAGCCCACGGCCTTTAGCGTCTCAGCACACAGATAGAATACGTACCACTGATGAGTCCAGAAAAGGCGAATTGACCGTCGTGTGCTTCATCGGATGCGCAGAAGCTGTCTGTGTGTAGCCGAGGGATTTGCTCCAAACCTCCCACTACGCTCCGCAAAAATCTCTATACAGCTGAGCAAATCAGGAGCGGCTGCATGTTCGTAAGGTTGCGTACTGTAGTGTGCTCTAACACGACACCTCAGGTTGCTTGATCGAACTCAGTACTTCAAGCACACTCAAAATTGGTCAATATTAGAAGCTACGATTCGAAAACATGGAGTGTAATTTCAAGTTTTAAGACCCCGAGGCGTGACTTACGCGGTGTTGGTTTTTGTGTTTGTACTGACGATTCAATGCCTGCAGAACGAGTAGATATATCGACATTTCTGTTCTAAAATGGAAATGATAAGGCTTCGGCTTCACATGCATTTGAACCTCCGGCTGGCATGCAATATATGTTGTAGAGGTTCTAGACGCATTCCTGTGTCCAGTTCCTCACGGTCAACTGTGTACTGTGGATTTTACTGCCAATGTCAACTGGGGACTCGTCACACATACGGTTAAGCCGAATACGGGATACCAAGGTACCTATGGCACATGAGTGACGCTGAAGCTCTACAATTCTTTGTGCCTTCGTGTTTCCCGAGGTCAGTCGTAAAACACTACGGGTCATGCTAATGAAATCCGCCCTTTACACTTTTCAACAACCTTGTGCAGTTTCGGAACACCCACGGATTTGGATTTCGTACTGGGATACCCACAACTGCGAGTAAGCCTCGCAGTTAATAATAAAACAAGTATTTTGTCAAAAAAAGTAAGATCAAACTGCAGTCAACGCTTCCTGAGAAGTCAGGTGACTGGAGGAAAAAGTAGTTAGGAAACACGATTCCATAGGAGGGCAAAAAAAGGTTTCATGGCGTAATTTAAAGAGGCCAACAGCGTCGGTGCATCAGTACTGTTAGCTTGTAATCAACTTTAACGTCGTACAACATGTTTAGCATGTCAATGCGACCACTTGGCTTTTCAGAGGTTACCATTGGTTGTGGATCAGCGGGAAATAATAGCCCGTGTCCAAATCGTTGCTTCTAATAGGAACCCGTACAATCCTATGAAGTACTGCATGCGCATCGGTCTCATCTGATTCAGTCTTCAATACGTACTGAAGGCATGCTATAGAAGTGTGATGACCGAAAAATAAGCCCACTGTCCGTGCTTTTATCGTTCCCCCTTCTTCCAGCTGAATAAAGACGAGCATTAAGTCACACATATTTTTGCGCAGATATCCCTATCACAAATGAAAAATAAGAATGGGAGAAGTGGAACCCAGTGTACTACGTTAATGTTCTGTGCAAACTTTCGGGACTAACGCGCTTACGCCTTGACAACAACATACCGTCAGGAACAGTTGGTTATCGTGCAAAGATAAGGCGACATCACAGCTTCCGTGTCATAATCAACTGTTAGTCCTCAAGTAACACAGCAATAGGTACAGATTTAAATTAGCAGATACACAACGAGATGACAGCAGACGCGCCATCGGTCCTGACTGCGAGCCATGTACTGGAACGCCTCTAGCCAAGCCTGGAAGGCGAGATGGGCCAACTATAACAACTAGTCAATGAATTCAATTTCCGCTGCCAAGCTAACTTTTGCCCCTCTAGAGCCTTGCGCCGCCTTACCTCTGACAGACGGTAAGCGGTGACCCAGTATATGTAGAGGATGCCCAAGCCAACGCAACTTGTCCAGTGCTCCCTGTTGCTCTAAGGAACTAGCTTGATAATAACTGGCAAGCACTCGCCCACACACATTATCGTTATGGACACGCTGGTGCCACCTGACACCAGCAGTACTTCACAGACAACGATGAGCAAGAACTTTACTACGCCTAGATCTTCAGATCAGGGGTGTTAAGTCTCTCTCCAATAGAGCAAGACGGCCCACATTATAACTGTATCTCAGAAAACCTCCCATCTGACGCCACATATGTTGCAAATTCTAAAAGGCAGCACTAGCTTTTTGTATACCTAAACTGACCTCCGTGGTTATGTACCCATCGCTGTTGATGTAGCTGCCAAGTTGTGATCCACCACCTCGTTTCCCTCAATATCAAGAGTTAGGGGTCTTGTATCTACGCTTTACTCTTTGACGGTGCGACTCGCTTGCCACTCTACATAGAACATTTAGGATTAACTAAGCCTCTCCGACATCGTTACAGAAAGAAAATATCGTCCATGTACTCACAAGTAGCTTTTCATTAGACAGTAGCTCAATGCCTGCCTCTTGCAGAGTCTACGACAAAATTGAACGACCGTGGTGAAACTAGGCAACCTGAGAAACGCCGCTTGTTGTCAAAAGGATATCCAACAAGTCACCATAGACCCTAATGCGGCCTATTGTGTTCGAGTACAGAACACGTAAAATGTTCACATATTTCACGGGGACACCATTCCGTACAAGTATCTCAAACATAATGGATCGATCGAGTGCGTCGAATACACTCATGTAGTTTTGAAATACAGCCAGTATCGATCTGTGGTACATGTGACGCTGCAGTAACACCAGTCGCAGAGTGAATATACAGCCGCGTTCTGGGCAGAAACCTGCCTGCTCTTCCCTAATCCGTAGTGAGGCGACGAAACGGAATTGAGGCTAGTACACTTGTCACCACCGACATTAGGCTATTACTCCTGTGACTAGTACAGTCGGTGAGACTGCTCTTCTCGTATATCGCCATTACAATCGAGTCACTTCAGCTAGTTGGGACATAGTCTTTCTCCCAAACATGTTCCAATAAAGTGGTCAGCGTTTTACAGCAGACCTCACCGCCCTCTTCACATAGTACTGCTGCGAAGGAATTCGGATCAGCAGCACGAAAACGACTAAGGGCTGTGAGCGCGTTTCGAAACTCAGTCTCCAATGGGGTCTCTAAACCGAATCGATGATTTCACCACCTTGCATTGCGCCAGCACATATAAGACAAGCAAAAGGAGGCCTCCCTCGGTACAACTTTGGTGGTCATTTGTAGCAGATACTTGATTCAAAACGACTTGTCCAGTTATGTAATGACTCGACCGTCACAAGCATCTGCTCGCCTGCGCACATCAGTGTTGCGGGACTGCAAGTACCACTGGTCCTATACTCCAGTTAAACTATTTGTTCAAGGCCAAGCGGCTAAAATTAAGGTCCAGTAAAGTCCGTCATTACGATTTTGCGTTCGACCGTTATGCGCGGTGAATACCTTTACCCGCGTCACAGTCATGGAATCTACTTGGAACCGATCGAGAAGTCATGAGTTCAGAGAGATTTGGAAACAATCGGTTAGCGTGTTTGTTGTGCGAACTGGGAGGATCACCATGTTTTCAACATATCTTAGGAAAGACTGGATCCCTAAATCACAGTGAAACCTCGGACAATACATGCGCCTTTGCAGGGATTGCGCCCAATGCATCCAAAGGCCTTTTAAGACAACGGATTTATTTGCCAGTCAGACGTTTAAGTGAGATCTGCCTCGAACCAGATTGACTGGGCTTAAATCTACAGACCATAGTAATGCCTTCTGATCAGGATACTGTTCAACAAAGCTTCGGGATTCGAAGTAAAAGCAAAAATTCGGAAGTTTAATCGTTTAATGGCCATAAGGTACAAAATCACCACTCCTACTGACAGGTCCGGATTTCATGGTAGCTAATATGGTAGATAGAGTCCTGTATGAGACCGTGTAAACTGCTGGAAAAGGGTTTGACTTTTATTGTGAATAAAATTAAGATAATGGTATATTACGAGCAAAAAGCGGATGCTTAGCAAGTCCCGTAGGATGGCCAGAATATGAGTATCACAACATAAATATACAACCTATCCAAAACCCCCTAAACACCCACCAGAGAGATAGCCGATTCCGCACACCCCACATTTTAAACACATATTTCAATCAAAAAACTTTCCCCCCCCCACCCCCTTATCTACTTAACAACACAAATATCCCAAATACCCCAACACACTACATACTACCCCCCCCTCCACACACTCTATTAATACTTATTCCCGCAATTTACCACTACACCTTCCTTACAAAACCCCCCTTACCCAATTATCCCCCATCCCCCCCCCCTAACAATTTTCTTTTAACCCATTCATTCCCCCCCCCCCTCATCTCTAACCCTAACCCTACCTCCCCCAACACATCTCCTACTTCCAAACAAATACCCCATTACCCTTCCCCCCCCCCCCCCCCCCACCCAACAACCCTATAATCTTCTCATATATACTTAACCTACCCCCCCCATCCCACCCCCCCTAGTATTTTCACCCTCCCTATGACCCACTCTTTGCCGACTTTCCAATTTACCTCTTGTCGCCCATTACATGACCGCCCGTGTACTAACGGGTCCCCCACTTCCCCCTCCCCCCCTTCCCCCCCCCCCCCTCCCTCTCCCCCCCCCGCCCCGGCCGCCTCCCCCCCCCCCCCCCCCCCCCCCCCCCCCTCTCCCCCTACCCCTTTTTCCTGCCCCCCCCCCCCCCCCCCCCCCCCCCCCCCCCCCAACACCCACACCCATTTAATTTTTTTAATTTTGTTGGACAACCCTTTGACGTGCTTCGTGGATCGTCGCTATGGTATCTCGAGCGGTGTAAGGTCTTGCTTGTGCCGGCGCTGAGAGGTTTGGATTTCGTAGTCCGCATGCGAGCGCACGTAAGTGTTAAGCAACTGCGGAAAGACAGAGCGATCAAGTTGCCCGAATTTCCTCCGCAGCATGCAAATGTATTGGTTCCCTATCTTTGACACCTTCCCTGGTTGTTCTGAGCCGGTGTCAAAGATTGGGAAACAACACGGGCAGAAGAGATTACCCAAAGCGTGGAGGGGGTGGTAACGATGTCACCCACTGCTAAAGCAGAAAATATTAGGTGATCAAGATTACAATCTGTGTCATCTCCACCTTGAGTAAAGTAAAAATGACCAATACCGAAGATAGGTTTGTAAATTCACATCAATGGCCGTCTAGTAACAGACCAAATACAGATGTGAAACAACGAAGAAAGTACCAAGGTATGTGTCTTAATCCTTTAGAGCTGCTAACGTGCCGTAACAAACCCATGCAGCTTCATCGAAACACAAGCCTGCAAAACTTTGTCTATAATTTGTTTGAAACACTGTATCAAACGTGAAAGAACCATATGACTGGGCAACCAGTTCCAGAAATGGATCACGCATCGTACAACGTGGTTCATATGCGGCATTTCCAATTTACAGACACGCTCTTGGGTGATTGATGTATCCATAATGAAGATGGGGAAACCGTATTAGATAAAGGATGCTGAAAGTTGAAAGGGGTTCAGTTTTTAGCCTTGTGTATACCAGTGTGTGAAGTCGCGATTTGTGGCACCTCGGTTAGTAGG